ATCCTTATCATTTGGCACAATAACAGACATCTCATATCGACATCCAGATGATCGTTGGATATTACAGTAGTAGACGATTCTCGTCCCGTCCTTCATCTTGACCCTCCTCTTCTGCGACACGTTACGGCTCGCCAGAAGCTGAAAATCGGCAATTAACGTAGGTTTGGAAAGTTCGAAAATCCGAAAAATCCGATTTCTACAAGTTTTCCAAATTTTTTAAAATACTTTGAGATACCGTACATACTCGGCTCGCAGAAAATCAATTCAACTAGTGAGAATCCAAAAAAAGAAAATAAGGCTACTATAGAGATTTTCAAAAAAATCTTGAAAATTCGGAAATCCGAAGATCGTTTTTGGAAAGCATATCTAAATTTTTCAACATTTCCCTTGTATTTCTCTTTAACGCAATTTCAATTCGCCCAAAGCTACCATATCCAAAAATGAATTTTTGCATTTTTTGGAAAAAATCAAGATTGCAAAAATTTTCTAGCAATTTCAGATTATTTTATTTTTTTTACTTTGGGATGCTGTACTGGCAGGCAGAAATCCGATTCGATTTTATTTTATTTATTTATTTTTTATTTGTTGGCTTTTCCGGCCCTTTAGAACAAAAAAGCCATGGAAAAAATCGGCGTACTGACCTCCATGGTGTCGTCGCGGCTGTACAGCCCCAAATGGTTCCACGCTTTCCGGTTGGCCATCCTGCAACAAAACGAGTACGGTAATATAAAGGAACCAGAAAATATAGGAAAGAACAGAATTAACGAAATTAAAGGACCACTGAAGCGAGAAAATCGGAGTCCAGAGTTCATCGAAAACCACTCTATTAACGTGTTTTTGCCAGGAATCGCCTCTGCTCGCTTGCCCTATTTGAAATTTCCGCTAACTGCCGATCAAGCCATCTATTCCCCAAAGGATTTCTGCTAGGTTGCCCGTTTCGGTGGATTGAGCATTTCGAAATGACAAATTCCAGGTATTTCGTACATTTTCGCATCTTTTCCACAAATGGTCTCTGCCAGGCTGCCTCATTGCAGATTCCTTTTAGCTGACTGTCAGTTTACCCATTCCCCAAATGATCTCTGCTAGCTAGCCCGAAAATTCCATTTTGGGCGGTCTTCCAAGGTGCGTAAAGGGCCACTTTGCATCTAAAATCTCTGCCGAAATTGGCACCGCTAGTTTGCCTAATTTCAGATTGCTTTTAGCTGGCAGTCAATTTACCCATTCCCCAAATGATCTCTGCCATATTGCCTCCGATTTACGTGTCATAATCGATTTCCCCCATTCCAAACTAGGCGGCCCCTTCCCGTGTCCCCCTAGGGCATTCTTTCATGGGGCCAGGGGGGTCCAATCAATCGATATTTGTGTGTGGTTGGTGGTGGGGGTAGATGGGCCCTCGGGGGCCACTCTCTTCCCTTCCCCCAACCCCCCGAAAGGCCGCCCATTGTCCTCCAATCCAACACAACCCCCGCGGCGAGCATACAAACCGACCGGGAAGGGGGGACTATGTGGCGATAGAAGGGCCACATAGCCGAGCCCATTTGCGGAAACGGTAGCCTGGATGGCAGATTGGTCTTTTATAAAGTTTGGCAGGCTACCAGAAACTTTTTACGGGAAAAAATGCTAAAAATCACTAAAATTCGTCATTCTCGACAAAATGAATAGGGCCAGCTAGCAGAGACCATTTGTGGAAACGGCACCCTTGATGGCAGATAGATCTTTGATAAATCCGGGCAATCTAGCAGAGACCAGTTGTGGAAAAAATCGAAAAAATCCCTGAAATGCGTCATTTTCGAAAGGCTCAGTGCACTAAAATGGGCGAGCTAGCAGAAATTCTTTGGGGAAGTGGTAGCCTGGATGACAGATTGATCATTCCTAAATGTGGGCAGGCTAGCAGAAACCATTTGTGGAAAATAATGCTATAACACTCTAAAATTCGTCATTTTTGGCAAAATCAATCCACCAAGTGGGACAGCTAACAGCGATCCTTTGCGGAAACTGTAGCCTGGATGGCATATTGATGCTTTATAGGATTAGGCAAGCTGGCAGGGACCGTTTGTGGAAATATCGATAAAAAACGACAAAAATACCGGAATTTAACGGCAAAAATCTGAATCCAAAAGGAGCAAGCTAGCAGAGATCATTTGGCGGAATACTAACTTGCATGGCAAATGGATAAATTCTAGAATTAGAAGACTAGCAGAGATCATTTGAGAAGCAAATCGAACCGAACCCCCAAAAAACCGAAATCGCAGATTGGCCAGCATCCAAAAACTTGAAAGGGGCAAGCTGGCAGAGGTTATTAGGGGTTTTAAAAATATGAGAAGCTGACTGATAAGATCAGCAATAATCAGCTAAATAATCCAAAGGGAGGCAGGTTAGCAGAGGGCAGAAGCCGAAAAGAGGGCGCGAAAAGGGCGTCACGCATCTGCCGACAGGGGCGTTGATATGGTGAGACGCCCCCTGGGGGTCAAGAGATCTTGATACCACACTAACGAGAGGCAAAAAAGACCGGCTTTTCAGTTATCAAGTAAAAAAAAGACAATTAATCGCCAAATTGACCCTCGGCAAGTGTAAAAGTCTGAAATCCAAAAAAGTGGGAACAAAAACCTAAAAAGCGCGTTAGAAATTGCCAACTTGGTCACAAAAACAGGGCAAGGCGGGCTAGCAGAGGTCCTTGGCGGAAAAAAACCCGAAAATGGACCGAGTGACTGGGCTTTTCTGTAGTTTTGGCTTTTTCACGGGCAATCTAGCCGAGACCACCTGCGGAATTGGTCGTTTCGAAGGCAGTTAGAAGGAAAAACACGAGCGGGCGGGCTAGCAGGGGAAATTTGCGGATATTTTTGGACCCTATCAAACTGGCGCGGAATGCAGATTAGGTGAGGCCAAGGGCCAAGAGGGCCATGGGTGGCGAGGAGGGAGGCTAGCAGAGGCCATTGGCCCGAAATCCGGCAGAAGTGAAAATGTCGATTTTTATAATTTTTCCGGGCAATCTAGTAGCAATCACTTGCGGAATTGGTAGACTGGCTGGCAGTTCATAGGAAAACACAAGCGGGCGGGCCGGCTGGCAGAGGCAATTTGCGGAATCGGTGGACTAAAAGTGGTGTATGAGCTATCCGAGATCACTTGCGGAAGCGGTAGACTGGCTGGCAGTTGGAAAGAAAAACGGTATTAGGCAGGCTGGCACAGACAATTTGCGGAACTTTTTGGGCTGATCAAAAATGCGCGGGATGCAAATTAGGGGCCGGCCGGGGGCCGTGGGTGGCGGGGGAAGAAGTTTTGGGTGGTGGGGGCCGTGGTGTCGTGGAATGGAAGGGGCCATATGGGGGGCGGAGAATAGAGAGGCCAGAAGAGAGAGAGAGACAGCCAAAGAGAGACAGAGACAGAGGGCGATCGATTGAGAGGGGCCGCCGAGGGCCGAGTCGAGTCTCCGCCCATAATAGAAGAGAGAGTGGGGAAAGAGAGAGACGCAGATACAGAGAGGGAGGGCCCTTCAAATAAAAGAGAGAGGCAGAGGGGAAGTGGGCAATGTTTGGCCATGGGGGGACGGAAGGGACTGTCGATCGGAATGAGGCGTACAGGGGAATGGAGGGGATGGGGGTGGGGGGCAGCAGGTCTAGGGGCCAATGGGCTCTGCTAGCATGCCCGAGGCCGTTTTTCTTCAAACTAACCATTCCGCGAATGATCTCTGCTATCTTGCCTCTGAAAAGCACAAAAAAATATGGAAAAAGCTAGAAGGTAAAATTCTAGTTTTTCCGAAATGACCTCTGCTAGCCTTCCCGGACTTGATTTTCAGCAAACTGGCACACAATTTACCGGCTCTCAAATAATCCGTGCTAGATCGCCCTCGCAAAACTGAAAAAGATTAAAAATCGGCAATTTTCATTTTTTTTTTGCTGAAATCCGGAGCAAATGGCCTTTGCCAGCCTGCCCGAAGCGGTTTTTTATCAAACTGCCATCCAGATTACCGATTCCGCAAATGGCCTCTGTCAAGGTAGCCCTGAAAAAAGCTATAAACCGACTGAAAAGGTTAGGCAATCAACCAAAATTCGAATTTCTTCCGCAAATGATAAATCCAAAAGACGAGATCGCCCGGGGGCAAAAATCAGCCTAAAACCCCCGAGTTTTGGCATTCGATTACGCGACGTAATTCGTAATTTGCGGAAAATCCGCAAAGCTCTCTGCTAGCATCCCTGCAGATCGAATAATCGAAATTTGCATAAATAGCCTCAGTATCCATGCGTAGAATGGTCATTTCCGATCAATTCCATTCCCCCAAAAAAAGCCCGGAAAATGCGTGTATTTTCTACGGTATCCTCCTAGCAGTCGGTCTACCGTATCCCCCGAGAGTGTCTATTCCGTTCCACTCCATTCTCACGACACCACCGTAATGCCGCGTACGTTGGGTTCTGGACTGTTTAGACAGCTACGTTACGCGCTAAAAAACGCAAGCTAGTTCCTCAAAAATAGAAGTTCTTTAGGGTAAATAGAGAATATGAACCGGCCCTTTGGTATGTTGGGTAAGTTTCTAGAACTAATCGACTTGGGAATGATCATTTGGGAATGGAAGGGGCAGGCTAGCAGAGATCATTTGGGAATGGAAGGGGCAGGCTAACAGAGATCATTTCAGAATCAGGAAGCCTCTTACCGTCGCTTCCTCTCGGCTAGCCGCTCTCTCAGAAGCCCTAGTTGGGACTCAAGCAGCTTTTTCTTAGGAGCGTAATTCATCTCATTCTGCTCGAGCGGCATCTCAAGCTGAAACAAAGTCGTCGTTGGCTATTTCTTCCACTCGCTCGCTCGTTCTCTGCTCTCTCGCTCTCTCTCTCGCTCTCTCTCGCTCTCTCTCTCTCTCTCTCTCGCTCTTTCTCTTTCGGGATAAAGGCTGCAGTAGATTCTGCGGAAAACGCCGTACCACGCTGCAGCATCGGAGGTGCACCTTGAAGAGGAAATCGAGGTGACGGAGGACGGATCGTTGCATCTCTTTCCGAAGTTTACAAAAGTCGATGCGGGAAGCTGGCATTGCGGTGGGTTTCTAGCCTGACGGAACACGGGCGGAAACTCAAAAAACCAGGGTAGATATTGTGTTGAATAGACATGACTCAATCAATCAATGCCTCTCGAGCAGGGCCATCATGTCCCGTTAATTCTTGTGCGGGAAATTCCCGGGTTTGAAAGGTTGCATTAATGACTGGGTCGAGTGTTCTTACATCTACTCGACAAGTCAAGAGAGTCTTGACTCTCTTGAGTCGCGTAGCTGCTTAGACCCCGTAGATCTAAGCGGCGCTTTTCGCACGTCCTAGTCCCTTTAAATGGTCTTATCTATCAAAAAACTTCCGATTTTAGAGACAACGAACTGAAGGGGATACAAGAACAAAGTCAGTCAAAAAAATGCTAAAAGAACCCGGCGAACTCGAGGCATGATCCGGGATGATTCGGGATCGAACCAGCGACGGGGAGGCAAATCGAGAGCGAGAGAGAGAGCGAGAGAGAGAGAGAGAAACCAAAGAGAGAGTGCGAGAGAGAGAACGAGAGAGCGCCAGAGAGAGATAACGCGTGAGAGAGAGCTAGAGAGAACGAGCGAGAGAGAGGAAGGGAGAGATATCTGGCTCTGGTCAAGGTCTCACCAATTTTTAAATGGATCGGCAAGGGATGACTATGGATTTATTCCACTGCTAGCTGGCCCTCTCTCCTTCCCAAATGGTCTCTGCTAGCTGGCCCTCCCTCCTTCCCAAATGGTCTCTGCTAGCTGGCCCTCTCTCCTTCCCAAATGGTCTCTGCTAGCTGGCCCTCTCTCCTTCCCAAATGGTCTCTGCTAGCTGGCCCTCTCTGATTCCCAAATGGTCTCTGCTAGCTGGCCCTCTCTGATTTTCCCAAATGGTCTCTGCTAGCTGGCCCTCTCTCCTTCCCAAATGGTCTCTGCTAGCTGGCCCTCTCTGATTTTCCCAATTGGTCTCTGCTAGCTGGCCCTCTCTCCTTCCCAAATGGTCTCTGCTAGCTGGCCCTCTCTCCTTCCCAAATGGTCTCTGCTAGCTGGCCCTCTCTGATTCCCAAATGGTCTCTGCTAGCTGGCCCTCTCTGATTCCCAAATGGTCTCTGCTAGCTGGCCCTCTCTGATTTTCCCAAATGGTCTCTGCTAGCTGGCCCTCTCTCCTTCCCAAATGGTCTCTGCTAGCTGGCCCTCTCTGATTTTCCCAAATGGTCTCTGCTAGCTGGCCCTCTCTCCTTCCCAAATGGTCTCTGCTAGCTGGCCCTCTCTCCTTCCCAAATGGTCTCTCTGCTAGCTGGCCCTCTCTCCTTCGCAAATGGTCTCTGCTAGCTGGCCCCCTCTCCTTCCCAAATGGTCTCTGCTAGCTGGCCCTCTCTCCTTCCCAAATGGTCTCTGCTAGCTGGCCCTCTCTCCTTCCCAAATGGTCTCTGCTAGCTGGCCCTCTCTGATTTTCCCAAATGGTCTCTGCTAGCTGGCCCTCTCTGATTTTCCCAAATGGTCTCTGCTAGCTGGCCCTCTCTGATTCCCAAATGGTCTCTGCTAGCTGGCCCTCTCTGATTTTCCCAAATGGTCTCTGCTAGCTGGCCCTCTCTCCTTCCCAAATGGTCTCTGCTAGCTGGCCCTCTCTGATTTTCCCAATTGGTCTCTGCTAGCTGGCCCTCTCTCCTTCCCAAATGGTCTCTGCTAGCTGGCCCTCTCTCCTTCCCAAATGGTCTCTGCTAGCTGGCCCTCTCTGATTCCCAAATGGTCTCTGCTAGCTGGCCCTCTCTGATTCCCAAATGGTCTCTGCTAGCTGGCCCTCTCTGATTTTCCCAAATGGTCTCTGCTAGCTGACCCTCTCTCCTTTCCAAATGGTCTCTGCTAGCTGGCCCTCTCTGATTTTCCCAAATGGTCTCTGCTAGCTGGCCCTCTCTCCTTCCCAAATGGTCTCTTTTAGTTCTACTTTATTCAAAATTGCCAGTTAGAATACCTCGATTTCTTCAGGTCTTCTTCACCTGGCCTCCTTGCGATTTTTACCTCTGCGGTCGCCTAACGCGCATCACGTTTGGCTGCAAAGACAAGGTTGGCTTGTGGCGCAGGAAAATTAAAGCTCACGCCGCTGTAAATCAAAAATCATGGCTTTACTATATCAAGCAAAAACTAACATTTTTTTGAAAAAAAACATACGTGAAATTGCTGCAATCGCGCCGAATAGGGGTGTCGCGTTGCTTAGGGCCCCATTGCCGCTAATTTTGGGTGTGCCATTAAAAATTTCAGTCCGTTTTCGACCCATATGGGACCTGCGTCGACGTGAGAAGGAAGGTGATCCATGGTTGGTTGGCTCGCGGCTTCTTCAAACATATTTTTGCTCGGTTAAAGGAAGATGGTACGACTGGGTGAAGGTGGTCCTGCAGTACGATGCACAGGGGAATCCCCTTGCCGGCTTTCTCGTTGAGAATACACATTGGTAAGTTTGTTGATCATATTTTTGCTGCTGCACGCCATCTATATAGCTCGGAGAAAATTTGAAGCAAGCTTTAATCTACTATATACAAATTTCTAATGTCCGTACGCCCGGCCAGGACTTCAGCCAAATTCTGGATTCAAACTCAAAATTCAAATGGGGGGTAAATACTTGCTGTGCCGATTTACAGTATGCCGATTATTGGTATGTCGAATTTTCACTATGCCGAATTTTCACTATGAGTGAAACCTTTTAAACCAAAACCTTTTAAGAAGGTTTTAGCCTGTTTCAACTTTTTTTCAACCCCCTTTTCAACACCCCTGAAAACCCCCATTCAACACCCCGCCCAACCCCCACCCTACCCCCCTCGCAACCCCCCTAGGACCCCCATCCAACCCCCACAAGTATGGGGGTAAATGGGGGGGGTTCGGGAGGTCTATTACACACTATTCATTTAGACTATACCACCAGCTATTATTCAATTGAGGAATTCTCATCTCTTTCGACGCAACAATTTTGTTATTTATCCCGTATTTGGACCCGGGACGGCATTGGATGATGAGAGGTGGGTAGAAAGAGAGAGAGAGAGAGAGGGAGAGGGAGGGAGAGAGAGGGAGAGAGGGAGAGAGAGGGAGAGAGAGAGAGAGACTTATTCAACTGCAATTCAGATATCTGAGGCTAGATTGTTGGATCCCCGATGGAACAACTCCCGGACAGGTATTATTCATCAACGTTGTTCGATTAGTTGCAGGCTCTTCTCTCTGTTGTCAAACTGACTCCAGAAGAATATTTGGACGTCTACACGGATGCATTCATCAAGGTCTCTCTCTCTCTCTCTTTCTCCCTCTGTCTCTCTCTGTCTCTCTCTGCCCCATTCTATCGTCCCTTTTCAGCTAATCGACTGCCCTCTCCTCCGTTTCTCTCATATCTATGAGAAAGAGACAGATTGTCTCCATTCTCTTCATTTCTTCCAACAATTCATCCATCACATCATTCAATCCGTAATTCTTTTCTATTCTACTTTCCATTCATTTCCTATAGGCTATTCCAAATGGAGAGGGACGTCGTCTTGTCATTCTCGATATCTACACTACCCAACAACTTCAACAGGTACAACATCAAATAAATGATCTCTGCTCGTTTGCCTGAATATCTTAATATTCGATCTGTCTGGCAGGCAGACTATACTCCATTCCACAAATGGTCTCTGCTAGTTTCCCCTTCTTCAGGAATCACTGAAATGTCTGTCTGATGAATATGAGATGATGATGGGACGATTGATCGAATGGATAGAGAACAACGCTAGGGGGCAGAGTATTCAGGTGAGAGAGAGAGAGAGAGAGAGAGGGAGAGAGAGAGGGAGAGAGATAGAGAGAGAGACAGAGATAGGGAGAGAGAGAGAGAGAGAGAGAGAGAGAGAGAGAGAGAGAGAGAGAGAGAGAGAGAGAAGGAGAGAGATAAGGAGGGAGAGCCAGTGACCATCAATGTCTGTTCAGCTCTATCAAATCGGAACCGACCTTGGGGAGCGAGAGTCCGAACTTCTCGGCCGTATCTATCCGACGGGTATCAACGTCATCATTGCTCAGAATTACTCAGCGGAAAATCAGGTGATCACTCAGGTCATATCCAGGGTTGGTCATTCTGCGAGCCGGCTCTGAGCGGGAGCTGAGCGGGAGCGGGAGCCGAGCGGGAGCTGAAAATTTTCAGCTCCCGCTCAGCTCCAGCTCTTGAGCCGGCTCTTTTGGAAAAGAGCGGGAGCCGAACCCTGATCTACTCCACCGGATGCTGAAAATTAGTTATTTATGCAAATCTCCCAAAATTCCAAAAAAAATTGAGTATTTTTGGCCTTGCATTGCCTTATTTGCATAGATATCTGATTTGCAGGATCCGGTTTGAGTTGAGCGGGGTTCGGCTCCCGCTCTTTTCCAAAAGAGCCGGAGCTGAGCGGGAGCTGAAAATTTTCAGCTCCCGCTCCCGCTCTTGAGCGGGGCTCGCAAATCAGCTCCCGCTCCCAGCTCCCGCTCTTTTCGTGACCAACCCTGGTCATATCCATTTTTCGCGAAAAGTATGATCCCCCGCCCCCGCCCTGGACGCCCACCACACTGTAAGGCTAACGAAAAAGCTAGGCTTAAAGGGCTGGAGAAAGATGGGCCGGCGTCCGTCGGGGTGACGGACCGCCGCGGCGCTACCATCGACACTTTCCCTCGCGTAAGCGCCCCCAAAACCCCCTCCCTCGTTTGAAGAAACCAGTTTATTGGCTATAACTTTTTCATTTAGCAATGTTTTCAACTAAAAATTTCCTGAGGCCAAGGACTTGGTGATACGCATCGATGGTAAAAATTTGAGCTGGATTGGATAGAAGGCGGCCAAGTTCTGGGCGATTCGGGGTTTTGGGACACTGTTTTGGCTGAAAAAGAGGCGCATAGACAGCAAAACACCTCTGGAAAGGTGCGAAGTATGCTGGCATCCCTTGGGTTGGGTTTCCAAAAAATTTTTTTTTTTATCCCCCCCGGAAATGCTTTTTTTTAAAGGGGGGCCCCCGTGCGGGGGGGGGAGCGCCCCGGGGGGGGGGGGGCCCCCCCCCCCTCCCCCCCCCCCCCCCCGGGGGGTCGGGGGGGGGGGGGGGGGGGGGGGGGGCGGCCCCCCCCTCCCCCCCCCCCCGGGGGGGCCCCCCTGGCCCCTCTTTGGTTTCTTCCTTTCCCCCCCCCCCTTTTGGTTTGTGGGGGGGGGGTTTGGGTTTTAAAAAAAAAAAATAAAAAAAAAAAATATAAAACATACTTCCACCGAAACGACGGGGGGGGGGGGGGGAAGAAAAAAGCCAAAAGAAAAAAGCGGGGGGGGGGGGGGGGGGGGGGGGCTTTTTTCTTTTTTTTTTTTTTGTCCCGGTTCCGGGGGGCCCGGGATCGGGGGGGGCGGGAAAAAAAAACCGAGGGGAAAGGAAGTAGAAGGGGAAAAAAAGGACAGAAAAGAAGGGGGGCCAAGACGGGGGGGGGGGCGGGGGGGGGGGGGGGGGGGGCAAAAGGGAAGGGGGGGGGAGGGCCGGGCGGGGCCCCCCCCCCACCCCAAAAAGGCGCCCCGGAAAAAGAGGAAGGAGGGGAGGGAAAGGGGGGGGGGGGGGGGCGAAACAGACAATAACAATCACCAACCCTGTTAGAAACCACTTGATTGTAGGTACCATGGGCTTTGAGCCACGAAGGAAGGACTCCGACGGCGCTGGGTATTCGACGACGGTACTACTAGTCTGATCCCCCACTTTCATTCATCCATTTCCATAATTTGCTATAAAGCCCAGTTGATATTCGATACTACTGCTTGAATTCATTAATCGGTAATTGCTGTTTTCCAGCGTTCTCATGGTGGGATTCTTCTACATTTTTGATGGTGCGGTTTAGGTTTTATAAAGGATGGGACGGGTTGGGGCTACAGGATGAGTCTTTTGGCGGTGGAGAAAACCCTTAATAACGGGCATCAGCAGGGTTGGTCACGAAAAGAGCGGGAGCTCGGAGCGGGAGCTGATTTACGAGCTCCGCTCAAGAGCGAGAGCGGGAGCCGAAAATCCTTAGCTCTCGCTCAGCTCCGGCTCTTAGCCGGCTCTTTTGGAAAAGAGCGGGAGCCGAAACCCGCTCAACTCAAACCGGATCCTGCAAATCAGATATCTATGCAAATAAGGCAATGCAAGGCCAAAAATACTCAATTTTTTTGGAATTTTGGGAGATTTGCATAAATAACTAATTTTCAGCATCCGGTGGCGTAGAGCAGGGTTCGGCTCCCGCTCTTTTCCAAAAGAGCCGGCTCAAGAGCTGGAGCTGAGCGGGAGCTGAAAATTTTCAGCTCCCGCTCGGCTCCTGCTCCCGCTCAGCTCCGGCTCGCAGAATGACCAACCCTGGGCATCAGTCACTTGACGATGTTGGAGGGTTCGAAGCCATAGTTGCAGCCCGAGCTTCACCGGAAAGGTCAGGCACGCTCCTTAAAGAGATACGCAAGGTATCGACTGAATATTTCACCAGCGGATTACAGTCGCGAAGCGGTTTTCGGCGAGATGGTTTTCGGCAAGTTGATTTTCGGCGAAATGATTTTCGGCGAGGTGGTCGGAATTCCTTCCTGATGGCTTCAGATAGCCCCCCCCCCCATAGCCGAAAACCCCTTCAAAAATTACTTCGATAACTTTTCCTGATGGCTTTAGGTACCTCCCCTAGCCAAAAACTCCAGAAAAAATTACTTCGATACCTTCCTGATGGCTTTAGGTACCTCCCCTAGCCTAAATCTCCTTAAAAAACAAAAATAACGACCGACCGGATACGTGGGAGCAAAAAAGCAATGAAATGGCTCCCGTGAAAATTTTCATCCACGAAACGCGCGCCACCTGGCTCACTATGTCCAAAATCACCCCAACCTCCGTCCCCCACCCCTTTTACTAAGGAAAAAACTTTCAAAGTTAATTTTAATAATTTAAAAACTTTTTCATAATTTTTTTTTATCAGTTTGGGGTTTCTGACGATGCTCTATCCGAGTCCGAAGAGATCTAATAAGGAATGGTTTTTTCGAGTCATCCTGAAAATGGCTGAAGAGATAGCTCATTCGATAGAGAATTTAATTCTGAACAAGGTACATTTGTTCATTTTTGCAAAATGGCAATCCCCGATTTTACAGGGTGTGCAAAAAAGCCCACAGTTTGGGTCGAAATAACTCGCGAACGGTAGAGAATCGAAGGTACGTTACCATGCCAGAATGCTTAAATATGCTGGGTATGAAGATTTAACACAACTTGATTTTTTCGATTTTTGGCGACGTATCAGTACAAATGACACCCGAAAACTGGGCGTTCGGGGAAACTTCGCTTGTATTTTTCTCAGTTTCCTGTGGAGGCTGGCATCTAATTTTGATTAAGTAAGTTAATATCGGCAGCAGATATGCACCTACAAAATTTAAGAATTTTTGAGGGTCTGGTTGAAAAGTTAGAGAGGAATGAAATTTTGTATGGAGAAATTTCGTAAATTTGTAATATGGAAAACCTATGGCGAATACCTCAAAATCAGTTGTTGTGGAATACCTACGAGCCCATTACAATCGCATACAAATCTTATAAAAATTTTCGAGATCGACGAATTTTCGAGTTTTTCAACGACCCCCCTGGTAGGGTTGTTTCTCGGAACAGGCCGAGATTCGGAACATTCGGAACAGCAACCGTTCCGACTGTTCCGAATGTCGGAACGTTCCGAGATTCGCGTGTTCCGGCTGTTCCGAGATTCGGAACATTCCGAGATTCAAATGTTGCGATTGTTCCGAGATTCATATTGTTCCGACTGTTCCGAGATTCGGGACGTTCCGAGATTTGGCGGTTCCGACTGTTCCGAGATTCGGAACAGTCCGAGATTGAGCTGTTCCGAGATTCAAATGTTTCGCATGTAAATTTCCAAACACGACTGAATTTCGATTCGATTCGATCCCCAAATCGTTCTGATTTCCTTAATTTCCAGATTCGATATCTAACCATCGACGGAATTAAGTGTTCAGTTGCGCCCACACTGCCGTGTCACGGCAAAATCGAAACAGTTACATGCAATCTACACAATTTACACGAAATCGAAATTTACATGCGAAAAAATTTGAATCTCGGAACAGCTCAATCTCGGATTGTTCCGAATCTCGGAACAGCCGGAACAGCCAAATCTCGGAACGTTCCGAATCTCGGAACAGTCGGAACAATATGAATCTCGGAACAATCGCAACATTTGAATCTCGGAATGTTCCGAATCTCGGAACAGCCGGAACACGCGAATCTCGGAACGTTCCGACCAGTCTTTGTTCCGAAAGTTCCGAATCTCGGTCTGTTCCGAGAAACAACCCTACCCCCTGGTCATGGATTTTTCGAGGCACGAAAGAGAGAGAGAGAGAGAGAGAGAGAGAGAGAGAGAGAGAAAGAGAGAAAGATAGAAAGAGAGAGAGAGAGAGAGAGAGAGGAGAGAGAGGGAGTGAGGGAGAGTGAGGGCTTATTTTCAAAATGTCGAAACTCATAATTTCGAAATTCATAATGTCGAAATTTGACATTGTCGCAATTTCATAATGTCGAAATTCAGAATGTCGAAATTTACGTAAGCTAAAATTCCCGGTAAAGTCCTGGAATTCTAGGCAAAAAATGTTGTCGTGAAATAACATAAAAAAAACAGAATGTGGAAAAAATTTTTTGGCTGGGTTTTGGCGGTTTCACCGGTAATATTAGCCTATGTAAATTTCGACATTCTGAAATTTCGACATTATGAGATTTCGACTATGGATTTCGACATTACGATTTTCGACATTATGAATTTCGACATTGTGATACCAAATCGAGAGAGAGAGGGAGAGAGAGAGAGAGAGAGAGAGAGAGAGAGAGAGAGGGGGAGAGAGAGAGAAATCTACCTAATTGGTCGTTTCTGGAGCAATATATCCTGAGGTGATGTATTTGACCTGAACCCTCAGCCATTCCATCTGTCTGTCCTCCAATCAATCGTCTCTCATTTCAAAGCAATCAATCCATTCCTCCTCCTTTTCTTCATTATCCATTTCCATCAATTCCCTCAGAGCTATTCGTCACATAAACCAGCTGTAAAACATCAGCTAGTTTTTAACTATAGAACATTTGTTCAAGATTTCTGCCGTCGGCTAATAATGTCGTTTTCTCATCAAAAGTATTTTTCTCGCCGATTGAATTTTTTGATGAGATCATCACTTACTGTAACCGTTTTTTGTTGACCGTGGGATTTCGATACGTGAGATAGCAGATTGTGCGAATTTTCGCTGATTCGAATCCGTTTTCAAAAGTTGCGGAACCCCTCTAGATAAAAAGTTACAGCCGGTTTTCTACCCCAAATGACCGAAAATTACAAACTTTAAATCCTTATAAAAAACTCGTGGAACATTTTGTGGGATAAAATACAGCACTCCTAGGGGTAAATAAACGTGCTCTTTCGAATGGGCTACCTCACGAACCCGTAGCTCAAAATTCAAGGAAAAAGTTTTCGGTGGAAGAATGCCCTGGATGGCCAATTTTGAAATTTGTGAATTTTGAGCTACGGGTTCGTGAGTGGCCCATTCGAAGGCCGTTTTTATCCTAGGGTGCTGTATTTTATCCAAATATTCCACGGGTTTTCTAAGGTTTAAGTTTGTAATTTTCGGTCATTGGGGTGAAACCGGCGTAACTATCTAGGGGGTTCCGCTTTTGAAGCAGTCGGATCAGCGAAAAATTCTGCAATCTGCTATCTCGTAATATCACGATCAAAAGCGATTTTTTAGATATAAATTCCTAATGTCCGTCCGTCGGTCAGTTGCCATGTAATTTACAAGTTCAAAGCGCATGTAAAGTGGATGCAAATTGTGGCTCTATCTTTTTGATACTTGTGTTTTTGGCTATATTTGCTTGTCTTCATCATAAAAAGCTTAATAGCGATCTTAGAAAAATTTCGACTACACAGAAAGATGCGCCTTTTCAAGGGCTACAAGATGTCTATGCTTAGCTAGACATGAAAATACCGAGGCGCGAAGTTAAATGTCAAAAACCAAGTGGCTCTATCTTTTTGATACGCACTGTATCTTCATAGATGGAGAGTATTTCTTTCTTTCTCTCTCTCTCTCTCTCTCTCTCTCTCTCTCTCTGTCTCTCTCTATCTTTTTCTCTCTCTCTCTCTCTCTCCGAAAATAAATCGCCAAAATATCGCAGCCTATCCTAGGTTCAATTGTTGAGATGGGCGGCGTCCGCCACAGCCGTTGCTACCGTTTCCACGAACCGGAAGAGTTGCCCGTACACCGTGCGGCCATAGAATTGTCGCTTTTTCTGGATTTGTTTCGAATGATTGGTATTCTGAATATCGGCAGTTTGAAGTTTAAAGACCCCCTGAAAAGGTGGCCAGGCGTCCGCAGGTAGTGCCGAGCAATAAAGGCGAAATGGCAAGGCAAGGCAAGGCGAAATGAAAGGCAGGCGAAATACGATGTAGGCGAGATAAAGTGTAGGCGAAATAAGATGTAGACGAGATAAGATGTAGGCGGATAAGATGTAGGCGGAATGGGATGTAGGCGAGATGTAAATAGGCGGGATGAAATTAAATCCCTAAACCTATGTATCCATTCCTGCTTCCATTCCTGCTATCCGGGTGTACCGGGTGCATTTTACAAATTGCCCATTACGTAGCCCCCTTAAATTATGTAATAGCTTTTGAGCAACAGGGTAGGCAAGTTGTCTTTGGCGATCAGTGACACGTGCC